TTGGGCGTCTGTCTTCGGCTCAGGTCATGATCCCAGGGTCCTGGGATCAAGCCCTGCATCAGGCTCCCTGCTCAGTAGGGAGCCTGCTTCTCCTCTTCTCGCTGCTGCTCCCCCTGCTTGTGTTCTGTCAAATAAATAAAAACCTTTTAAAAAAATTATACTGTCAAACGACTGAGAAAAGTACTATGGAGTTATCAGGATGTAATAATTTGGATTTGCTTTTGCCGACCAAGAATAAAAAATTATCTAATAATCATCAGAACTCCAAAATTTGGTACGAAGTAGATCAGTTATGGATACCACCATATATATAGCTATATGAGGGGGAAAGTCTACTGCTAAAAAAAAGTTAAGTTTGAAAGCTACCAGTTTATTGGAAGAAACACTGGATTCGGAGTTTGGGAACCTGTGTTCTAGTGTTCACATTGCCATGTAACTTAGAACCAGGGTATTTAAATTATGCTTTATAAAATGATGTAGTTGAACTGGAGGTGATCACCAAATTATTTATTCAACAAATTGGCTTGCCTGCTGTGCACTAGGCAAGGATGTAGAGATAAACAGAGAACAAAAACCATGCCCTTGTAAATTTTACAGAAGACAAATAAGCAGAATGTGTCTGTGTAGCTATAGCAAAATGTTCAGGGAATCAAGGAAGCACAGAGCTGTCCTGCATCCAGTTTAATATTGGACACACTCTGTGGTTGGCATTTTCAGTAATAATTCACAGATCCCTTCAGCCTTACTGGCAGAACCTGTCTCTGAAATAGAATGAAAATGCCACCCCTGCAGTTGGACATATGACCAGTTCTGGCCAGAGAAACCTGAGGCGAAGTCTGCACGGTTTTCCTTATAAAGATTTCCTTATAAAAATTATGTCCCTCCTTCTTGCCCTGACCTTGTCGCATGAGGTCTTGATACTTAGTGTTGCAGAAATCATCTTGAGACTGATCGCCTGAGAACAAAGGCCTTTATACTGATTATAACCAAAGAGAAGAATGGAAAGATCCTGGGCCTTGATGTCAACACTGAGCCACTGAACCAACCCTACAACCACCTGTGGGTGGACTTACTGAGATTAAAAAAAAATACTTATTGTTTGAAGTCTTGCTGCTTTCGAAGTGGTCTGTGGTTCAGTATTGGCATCATTTTGGAGATTAGTTAGATGCAGAAACTCAGATCCCATGTGAGACCTACTGATCAGAATTTGTACTTTAATAAGATCACCAGGTGAGTGAGGTGCACATTAAAGCCTGAGACGCACCAGTTTAAACCACTTTTTTTTTTTTTAAGATTTTATTTATTTATTTGACAGAGACAGAGAGAGCAAAAGCAGGGGGAAGTGGCAGACAGAGGGAAAGGGAGGAGCAGGCTTCCCACTGAGCAGGGAGCCAAATGTGGGGCCTGATCCCAGGACTCTGGGATCGTGACCTGAGCTGAAGGCAGACGTCCAACCGACTGAGCCACCCAGGCACCCTTAAACCACTTTTAATTGAGTATTATATTACTTGCAGTTAAAAACATCCTTAATAATACAAATATATTGTGGATTGACCAAATGCCATTTTAAAAATAATGCTTAACCAGAAAGACTTCTAACTCAAATGTAGAAATATTGTTCTTATGTACTAACCCAGACAAGCAGTATAAGTACATCATTATTGTTTTTAAAAATCTGTCAGAGAGCTTGAGGACACAAACCTAAACGACTTTAGAAAGTGACAAGCCGGGGCGCCTGGGTGGCTCAGCGGGTTAAAGCCTCTGCCTTCGGCTCAGGTCATGATCCCAGGGTCCTGGGATCGAGCCCCACATCGGGCTCTCTGTGAAGCAGGGAGCCTGCTTCCCTTCCTCTCTCTCTGCCTGCCTCTCTGTCTACTTGTGATCTCTCTCTGTCAAATAAATAAAATAAAATCTTAAAAAAAAAAAAACCTATAATAGAAAGTGACAAGCCCTCCATTAGATCAGTGACCTACTTCTCTCTTGGCTGACTGAAATGTAGGGAGAAGCAGAAAACCATCATAGGAGTCAGGAGAAGTCAGCCTAATTTTTAACAAACTTTTAATGATTATGTTTGGATTAGATGATAGATTAGAAATCCAGAGAAGTAATACAGCAGTGCTATCCACTAGAACTTTCTGCCATAATGGAAATGGTCAGTGTCTGTGCTAACCAGTGTGGTGGCTACATGCTAGCCAAATGTAGCTATCAAATACTTGAAATGTGCCTAGTATGACTGAGGAACTGAATTTCTAATTTTAATTAATTTAATTTAAATGTAAATCACATGTGGCTAGTGGCTACTATATTGGACAGTGCAGCTTTAGAGATGCTAAGATTGCACTACTCCCACTTCTTTCCCTTAGGTCTTCATTTAGTGCTAAGGATATTAGAAGAACAAAGGCAGTGAAGCAGAGCTGAGAGAAAATTCCTGAGGTATAGGTTTTCAGCTCAGAGAGGCAGGAGGGCTGGGAGAAAACCCTTCCAGGCCAACCCCAACATCACAGAGTATAGAGTAGACTAGGTGAAGGGGCCTGAGAGATCTGCCAAAGCCCAGAAATCGGGGTGGGAGAGGAAAACAAGGGCAGCTCCCATTCAATCAGAAAGCTGGCAGCCTGGGCTTCATATCAGTAGAAATTCCTCACAGTTCATAGTTCAAAAAAGGAGGGAGGGAGCACAGATCTCCAGAACCTCATGAGGGTTGTAATCTGAGGCTTTCCTGGAGAGAAAGTCCTGATCCTATATTCAGAATGTTTGAAGCCAGTGAGGAACTGACTCAAACTAAAGTGACAAAGCCCAGATTCAGCTCAACTGTAGAGCATATTGATTCAGCCCTGACCTACAGGACATGCCTCTAAGAAGAAATATCATTTCCTTCAGTCTCTGCTATACTTCTATACAAAAATGCCTAGCATGCAGCCAAAGATCTTAAGATACATATTCCCCATACTCAAGAAAATAACGGTCAATATAAGACTTAGACATGACACGGATATTGGTGTTATCAGCTAGGGACTTCAAAATAACTATAACAAAAATGCCAAAGAATCTAGTGGACAAGGTACGCAGCATGCATAAACAGAGGAGGAATTTCAGCAGAGATGTGGAAACTATTTTCTTAATAAGAAACAAATGGAAATGCTCACCATAAAAAACATAATATCAGAAATTAAGGTCCTTTAGGTGGCTTAGTAGAAAATAGCTGAACAGTTTTGGCCAGATTGCTAGAAGCAGTCTGTTGTGGAAGGATTCCTTTTGGTTGCACGGGTTGAGGTATATTTTGAATAAGAAGTACACAACACTCCCTATACTACTTATAAGCCCACAGACATTCTTTTGATAGAGCACTGCATAGATTCATCACGCCACATAATCTTGCATATTTCCCTGGTAGTTTTCCTAATGGAAAAGAAATTGGCACTTCTGTGAAGGTATGCATAGACCTTTCTAGATCATTTAGTGAGACTTTTCACTTGTCTTGGGAGAGAAACCAGAGGCATTCTTGGTAACCCAGTGCCCACCATGTATGAGTATGTCTTGGTCAGCTTGTGCTGCAGTTACATCATTACCATTTTCCATTTCCTTCATGTTTTCACTCTTGCATTGAACATGTGGTAATAAAATACTGGTTTTCACCTAATAAAGATTTTAGTTTTCTAAAAACCTGTAAGTTTCTTAACAGGTAACCTTTTTAGCATCCATTGAGGCTTAGAAGAATAGTGACCTAAAGTTTCCAGATACCCCTTAGGACATACAGGAATTTCTTTGCAATTAGATCTTGAATTTCTGGGCTCATAAACTTGATTGTTCCCTTGGCCAACAGTTTGTGGCTTAAGAGTAAGAAAGTGGATTCCATTGTTTTTTTATCTCTAAAAGTTTTATAGATTTCTAAATTTTATTCCTACATTCATCGTTTGATTCAGTATTTGTTGAGTAACTCGTAATTACTCCCAAAAGAGCCTATTTTTATTTTCACAAATAGAACAGTTTCTCAGGGGCGCCTGGGTGGCTCAGCGGGTTAAGCCGCTGCCTTCGGCTCGGGTCATGATCTCAGGGTCCTGGGATCGAGCCCTGCGTCGGGCTCTCTGCTCGGCGGGGAGCCTGCTTCCCTCTCTCTCTCTGCCTGCTTGTGATCTCTCTCTGTCAAATAAATAAATAAAATCTTAAAAAAAAAAAAAAAAAAGAGAACAGTTTCTCAGTTGATTTTTTTTTTTCCTCCTTCATTCCAGATTGTGCAGCCAGCCCTAGTATTGCTCTGGAAATTTAAAATACATATTGAAAATGAAACATTTTTTTTAATGAATGCATTCATGTATGTTTTATTTATTTAAAAAACAATATTTGAGGTTGTTGACATTGAAAATCATAAGTACAATGAAGCTAAAACAGGAATTTTTTACATTAATAAGGAAAATAATCCCTATATAGCCAAGATAAAGAATGCTGTTTGAGCCAGACACTCTGCTTTTTTTTTTTATGAGCATTATTTCATTTAGCTTCACAACAGTTCCTAAGTGAAGCATCATTATGCCATTTTATAGGTAAAGATTTTCCCAAAGTATTTTCAGACTCCTAATCTTAGAGCAGGCTAGTAGATGAATTTTCTAACCCCCCATTCCCGTACCAAAAAAAAAAAAAAAAAAAAATCTGAAGATCGGGGCGCCTGGGTGGCTCAGTCATTAAGCGTCTGCCTTCAGCTCAGGTCATGATCCCAGGGTCCTGGGATCGATCCCTGCATCAGGCTCTCTGCTCTGTGGAAAGCCTGCTTCTTCCTCTCCCACTCCCCTACCTTGTGTTCCCTTTCTCACTGTCTCTCTCTGTCAAATAAATAAATCTTAAAAAAAAAAAAAAAATCTGAAGATGAAACATTATTGTAGATGTTTATCTTGACTTTTTCCCTCAGCTTCAGTTGTACATACTTTTCATAATTTTTGTTAAAAGAGTAAAATGGTAATGAGTAGTTAATAGAAATATCGGAATTAACAAACTGCTTTATTTTACAGGGAAAATATTTATCCCGAAACAGAAACCTATGCAGACTTTCACAGAAGAAAAAATATCTCTTGATCCGGAATTAGAAGAAGCTTTGACAAGTGCTTCTGATACAGAATTGTGTGACCTTGCAGGTATCTCCTAAAACAAATGGGTGAATGAGTGGGGAAGGGAGGGGAGGAGAGGGGAATGCCAGCACTTATATCATACTGATGCTTCCTTTGCCTAGTAAAGTGCTGTTGAATCAGTAGACCACATATTTGGCTTTGTCTTTTATACTATAAATCTGGCAAAGATTTTCATTTTTTAAAATGCTCTCAGTGGTGAAATTTTTATGTTAATGGAATGTATTATTTGACATCTTTTCCCATGTTACATTATTTGAAAGTCTTTATAAAAAATCTTTCACCAGTTGGTGCGCAGCTAGAAGCTGTCCCATCTAAGCATTGAAAAAGTCTCTCCAGGGTCAACTACTGTCCCATTTTACCATTAAGACCCCAAGATGAGGGGCATCTGGCTGGGTCATTCAGAAGAGCATGCAACTCTTGATCTTAGGTTCGTGAGTTTGAGCCTCACCTTGGGTGTCAAGATTACTAAAAATAAAATAAACTTTGGGGAAAAAAAGGAAGACCCCAAGTTGAGTAACTGGAAAGCAGACAAGCAGTCCTGAGCTATCCTTACCACTTTCCCTACTTTCTGAAGTGTATCTGGAACACTCCAAACCTCCCTGTTGTTTTCATCATTGCTGGTTTCTTTCCTGGACAGGTATCTCCCCGACCTGCCTCTGCATGCACCCATTTACCGAGGTAGAAAAATATGACATGTGGGGGGATATCTTAGCACTAAGGAACCCCAGAAGCTAACATGTTTTAAAGGAAGAGTGATGGTTCTTTTTTTTTTTTTTTAAAGATTTTATTTATTTATTTGACAGAGAGATCACAAGTAGACGGAGAGGCAGGCAGAGAGAGAGAGAGAGAGGGAAGCAGGCGCCCTGCTGAGCAGAGAGCCCGATGCGGGACTC